CCCTCTGCCTGTTGCTCCCCCTGCTTGTGCTCTCTCTCTCTCTCAAATAAAAATAAAATCTTTAAAAAAAAATAAATGACATATAGCCTACTGTAAGTACTCAGTAAAAGCACTTATCAAATGGATATTATATCGTCCTGAAATAGCACTGAATATGATGAAAAGGAACTAGGGACTCTACATTAATAATCAAGTGTTAAATTATTCCTAAGTACATGTATACTCTTTCATGTATCATGGACTGTAGTTTAGTATTATATGTGCAGAAAGTACATGAAATTAGAACCTGAAGTTATTTTTATTTTTTATTTATTTTTTTAAGATTTTATTTATTTGAGAGAGAGAGAATGAGAGAGAGCACGAGAGGGGGGAGGGCCAGAGGGAGAAGCAGACTCCCCACTGAGCAGGGAGCCTGATGGGGGGACTCGATCCTGGGACTCCGGGATCATGACCTGAGCCAAAGGCAGTCGCTTAACCAACTGAGCCACCCAGGCGCTCCTATTTTTATTTTTTAAATACTTTATTCATTGAGAGAAAGCAGCACAAGTCGGGAGAGGGACAGAGGGAGAAGAAGAGACTCCCTGCTGAGCAGGGAGCCTGATGCGGGACTTGATCCCAGCACCCCCGAGATCATGACCTGAGCTGAAGGCAGAAGCTTTACCAACTGAGCCACCCAGGCGCCGCAGAATCTGGAGTTATTTTTAAGATCATTTTGAATATAAACCATGATTTGGCTGTTTGCAATTGTTGCATGCTCCTCTAGCTACTTTCCTGGAAAAGTAACCTCTTCCCATTATAATTAAATTTTTTAAAATACTTTTGTTTTGGAAATAATTTCAAATTTACAGAAAAGTTGCAAGAATAAGAATAGGACAAAAAAATCTGCATACTTATTACCCAGATTAACATTTGACATCATTTACACACTCTCTCCTCCCTTCCTCCCCTAAGCCCCCATCTTTATCCACATATACACACTTTTTTCTTTCTGAATCTGTAAGTTCCATATATCCTGATCCTTTATCCTAAATACTTTAATATGTATTCCCAACAATTAGGAAAGTTATACATACCTCATTAAATTTATACATACTTCATAAAGTTATACATACTTCCTTAAATTTGACATTACCATAATACTTTATTGTCTGTATTTCAGTTTTGTCAAGTGACCCAATAATGTTCTTCATAGCATTTTCCCTTTTATTTTTATTTATTTATTTATTTTAAAGATTTTATTTATTTACTTGAGAGAGAGAATGAGAGAGAGAGAGAGCGCACAAGAGGGGGGATCGGGAGAGGGAGAAGCAGACTTCCCGCTGAGCAGGGAGCCCGATGTGGGACTCAGTCCCGGGACTTCAGGATCATGACCTGAGCCGAAGGCAGTCACTTAACCAACTGAGCCACCCAGGCGCCCTCCCCCCTTTTAATACAGGATCCAATCTAGGGGTCAAGTATCATATTTAATTGTCTTATGTTTGGCCTTCTTTAATCTGGAACATTCCACAACTTTTCTTTGTCATATAACACTGACTTTCCTTTTCCTTTCCTTTCTGTTTTAATAGAACTTTCTTAATTTTGGGTTTATCAAATGTTTCTTCATGGTTAGATTCAGGTTCTGTGTTCTCAGCTGTGATGTTACATGTGTTGATGTAACTTCAGTGTATCGCATTTGGAGGTTCACAGTGTTTAGCTGCCTTTCATGGGTGGTGGTAATTGTGATCACCCGGTCAAGCTGTTGTCTTGTTTTCCCACTGTTTACAGTCCCTCACCTCCCAACTAATAATCTGTGGGAAGACATTTTAAGACCATGGAAATATGTTGTTCGTTAAAATTTCCTCTAGATTTAGAATCCATGGATGGTTCTTGATTGAATCTTTGGTATGATAAATGCTGGCTTTCCAACTACAGCACTCCCCCCACACTTAGCAGTTAGCATTCATCTTAGCATTCTACTGTAAGCAAGAGTCCATCTTTCTTCCTCATTATTTGTCTGTTTATTATCAGTATGGACTCATGAATTTCCATTTTTTTCCAGTGGTTTATAATTAGTTGTGTACTTATTTTAGTGCTCAGATTATCACAGAATTTTTTAGTAGGAAAGCTTTCAGATTGGATCCTCTGTCCTGTAACTTTTTTTTTTTTTTTTTAAAGCATTTCCTTACTTTGTTGCATAATAGATGTTCTGGGCTCATCCTGTAATTAGCCTATCCCACCCTGGAATCAGTATTTCTCTGAGGATTCCTGGGCTCTTTTAGTGAGGAATATTAGACACCAAGATCTGTTGCTAGGTATGCTCACTGTTGCTGTGGTGTCTTTGCTCTTTGACCTTTGTAGCAAAGTAGGAAATATGCAGGTTCATGAAAATGTGCATACATATATACACATATATGATTTAGAAATCATGAGTTCACACCAACACTTCCAAGTCAGATTTGTCTCCTTAGGGTTCTTTTTTGCCTTTCCTTGTTCCATAATTGTATATGTTCCCCATTGCGCCCTCCCCCCCCTTGCAGGTAGCCATGTTCATCATTTTCTGCTTTATCTTCTTTCTCTCTCTCTCTTTTTTATTGGTAAATATAAGCACATGTATGTGTTTTCTTATTTTCCGTTGATATACAAAAGGTAGCATACTGTATCTGCTCTTTTTTTTTTTAATATTTTATTTATTTATTTGCATGAGAGAGAATGAGAGAGAGCACATGAGAGGGGGGAGGGTCAGAGGGAGAAGCAGACTCCCCGCCGAGCAGGGAGCCCGATATGGGACTCGATCCCGGGACTCCAGGATCATGACCTGAGCTGAAGGCAGTCGCTTAACCAACTGAGCCACCCAGGCGCCCATGTATCTGCTCTTTTGTACTTGCTTTCTTCACTTAAAATATCTAGTGGAAATCACTCCGTATCGTATTTGTAGAGTCTTTTTCTTTTTTATAGCTCTATAATACTCTGTTTTGTGTATGTGCCATAGTTTCTAATTTCCTCTGCTTGGCCATTTATGTAATTTCTAGTATTTTGCAATTGTGAATAATGCTGTAATGAATAATCACTTCGCACTTACGTATTTTTGTTTTGTTGCAGGTGTATATTCATGTAAATTCCTGGACGTGGGAGTGCTAAGTCAAAGTGTCAGTACCTATGTGGGGTGGTACCATTTTACATCTCTACTAGCAGTGTATAAGAGTGCTTGTTTCCCTCAGCTTTGTAGACCGAGTATATGGTTAAGTCTTCGAATTTTTACCAGTCTGATGGGCAAGAAGTGGTATCTCAGTATAGTTTCTTTCTTTCTTTCTTTTTTTTAAAGATTTTATTTATTTATTTGACAGAGAAAGAGACAGCGAGAGAGGGAACACAAGCAAGGGGAGTGGGAGTGGGAGAAGCAGGCTTCTTGCGGAGCAGGGAACCCGATGTGGGGCTCGATCCCAGGACCCTGGGATCATGACCTGAGCCGAAGGCAAATGCCTAATGACTGAGCCACCCAGGCGCCCCTCAGTATAGTTTCAATTTGAATTTAAGTTGTATTATCAGTAAATTAAACATATTTTTAAAAAAACTTTATTTATTTATTTAATTATTTATTTTTAAAAGACTATTTTTTTGAGAGAGTCAGCAAGCGAGAGAGAGCACGAGCAGCGAAGAGGAGCAGAGGGAGAAGCAGCAGACTCCCTACTGAGCAGGGAGCCCGACATGGGGCTTGATCCTGGGACTCTGGGATCATGACCTGAGCCGAAGGCAGATGCTTAACTGACTGAGCCACCCAGGCACCCCTATTTTATTTTTTAAAAGATTTTATTTATTTCAGAGAGAGCACAAGCATGAGTAAGGGGAGGGGTAGAAGGAGAAGCAGACTCCCTGCCCAGCAAGGATCCTGATGTGGGCTTGATTCCAGGATCATGACCCGAGTCGAAGGCAGACACTTAACTGACTGAGCCACCCAGGCGCCCCGGTATGGATCTAATTTTATCATTTTCTAAATGGCTATTAGTCCCGTCACCATTTATTAAAAAGATTAGAGCAAATCACTGAGACAAAATCAGTGTTTGTATTATAGATCATATACTAATTGGCTCTAACTCTGGGCTTTCTACTCTGTTTCATTGGTCTGTATACTCATACACTTGAATCACACTGTTTTACTCATAGACAATTACAGAGAATTTAATATCTAAGAATACTCATGTCATCTTCAGATAATGTAATCTTGTTTCTTTTTCAATTTGTATGCCTCTCATTGTTCTTTCCAGGCTAATATACTCTGAGTAATGCCTCCAGAACAATGGTAAATAGTAGTGGAGGTAGTTGGCATTCTTGTATTGTTCCCCCTGGTCTCCCTGGGGCTTACTTATTATGTAAGGTTCTGGATTTAGGTCTGAGGGACATATATTTTATCATGTTAAGGAAGTGTATCCATCCGTTTCTATTTTCTCAGGAGTTTTTAATTAAGAATAGGTGTTGAATTCTGCCAAAGGTATTTTCATCATCTGTGGAGAGTCATGATTTTTTTTGTCCTAGACTTACTAATGTCCCACTATAAATTTACTTAAGAGAGACTAGAGAACCAACTTGTATGTAAGTCTTCTTATATTTCAGGTTTGCTTGCTTAGGTAAAGAGTATCATTAAAACAAAACTGTGTTTCTGGTTAAGCGACTGCCTTCGGCTCAGGTCATGATCCTGGAGTCCCTGGATCGAGTCACGCATCAGGCTCCCTGCTTGGTAGGGAGTCTGCTGCTCTCTCTGACCCTCCCCCCTCTCATGTGCTCTCTCTCTCAGTCTCTCTCTCTCAAATAAATAAAATCTTTAAAAAAAAAATGTGTTCCAATGAGAAATTTTAATCAGTGGCGTGTTTATGCAAATTATTTCCCCAACCCCAGTCTTGTCTAAAATTTTTTAACAGTTTAGCCAAATAAAGGTGAAGTTTTAAATTTAAGATGCTAATAGAATCATGGGGTAGAATGTTTGAGTTGGATTGTATCTCAGAAACAGTCTAATCTGTAACTTTTGCATAACGAGTTTATTTTTTTAAAAGGCGTATAGACAGTAAACAAAGTAAACAGTCAGATCTTCACTTCTACCCAGTATTATCTGTCCTAGACTGTTCCATTAAGTTCCGGTCTCTAAACATCTTAAATTTCAATAATCGTCCTCTTCATCAGAGTCCATGACTTTTCTTCTGTTGAATTTAACTGTGGTTTTCTTTTCTGTTTGCTGGCTTACTTTTTCAAGGATTTCTATTAAACCTTGTTCTGATACCTTCCCACTTAGTTGTCCATATCTTGCCATCTGTATGAGGTAATTCTCTACTGCTTTAGTTTGTTTGGACTTTACAAGTGCTAAGTTACTTAAGCGGGCTGGGACTGACTGATCCAGGACTTGGGCTAAGATACTGTTTCTCATTTCTGCTTCCCTGTGCTTTGCTTCCTGTTGTGCTGCATCGCCAGGATCCCCATGCTTCGCCTGCAGTTTGGCCAGCCTCTGCTTCCTCAGAGCCTCCAGCTCCTCCTCAGCCATGGTGCGGCAGTCCGGGGTCGAGCCGAATCTGTAACTTTTGGACAAGAATAATCAATGGATGCTAAAATGAGTGGGCAAAAGTATGATCAGAAATAGGTATTTACAGTGGTGCCTGGGCGGTTCAGTCAGTTAAGCATCAGCCTTGGGTCAGGTCACGATCCCAGGGTCCTGGGATCGAGCCCCGCATCGGGCTCCTTGCTTAGCTGGGAGTCTGCTTCTCCCTCTGCCCCTCCCCCTGCCTGAGCTTTCTCTCTGAAATAAGTAAATAAAAAAAAAGTAATAAAAGTAAATAAAAAAATAAGTAAATAAAAAAAAAGATATTCACATAATTTTTAGTCTCCTTAGTAGATCCTTATTAAGTACAAGGGAAAAAATATAGTAACTTCACAGTAGATAAACTTGGCGGGCATCACTTTAACCAGGTGAACAAAGGTAATAACTCTAATAATATGACATATTGACATGGTATACTTCCTGATACCCACTGAGCAGGACACAACATCCGTTCTCTGATGTATAATATAAAAAATGTAACCTGAATTTAATCATGAGGAAACATCAGAGGAAACCAAATTGAGGGATAGTATACAGTAACTAGGCAGTACTCTGCAATTGAATCCAGGTGGTGAATGACAGAGAGATTGAAGAACCTCTTCCAGATTAAAGGACACCAAGGAAGCATGAAAACTAAAGCATGCAAAATATGTTCTGGATTAAAAATTGGACATTACTGGGACAATTGATGAAATTTGAATGAAGTCTATAGATTAGTTAATAATATTGAATCACTGTAATTTGTTTTGCAATTAATACATTTATTAGATATGTTAAAGACTATACACTTACTACATTTTTTTTTAAAGATTTTATTTATTTATTTGTCAGAGCACAAGCAGGGGGTAGCGGCAGGCAGAGGGAGAAGCAGACTCCCTGCTGAACAAGGAGCCCGATGTGGGACTCGATCCCAGGACCCTGGGATCATGACCTGAGCCGAAGGCAGATGCTTAACCCTCTGAGCCACCCAGGCGTCCTGAGATTACATATTTTTGAGTAATCAAGAACTGTTACAAAAATGTACCTTATATTAGATGGTAAAGGAAGTTTAAACAAATCTCAAGTAATAGCTTTGTTCTCTGATTACAGTGCAGTAAAATTAGAAATTATTAGATTCAATGCTAATTTTTCGATTTTGATAATTGTTCTTTGATTATGTAAGATGTAAGCATCATATGATGTCCTTGTGAAGGACAAATGGAATTCTTTACTATTTCTTGCAATTTTTGTTATCAATCTGAAATTATTTCAAAATGAGAAGTTAAAAACAAAAGTTTTATCTTTTTGAGGTAGATAATGGGTGAAATGACAGACTGAGGTTTGCTTTAAAGTAATTTAGTTGGGAGGTATTGGTGAGGGTATAGTTTGTATAAGATTAGCCATGTGTTGGTAATTTTTGAAGCTGGTTGATGAATGTGTGGGGTTCCATTATACTATTCTCTACTTTTGGGAATGTTTCAAACTCTCTATGACAAAAGTAAAAGGAAAGAAAAGATGAACTGTCCTCAAGTGTCTGGTCATTCTTGATTAGTCATATTGAAGAATGAGGCACTAAAAAGTTTTAGGTTGAAAAATAACAACTCTGGGTGTTTATGCAGATTCTTGCCCAGTGGGTGTCTATATATGTGGTCATCTGGTGTCTTCCAACTGTCAGGGTTATTCTCTTGGACTGGTCAGTTTTTCTACAAAGGGCTTATATCTATTTGGGGATGGATCAGAGAAGCAGAATCACTGAATGACAAAGGATAAGGATTATAGAGGTTAGACCTTACATAATTTGGGAATTGGTAAAGTTGCTGTTGTCTCTGAATTGTGTGGGTCCTGAAATCAGTGGAGCTGGCAGAAGAAGCTGGATGTCATATCGGGGGGAAGCAAAAACCCATTGGAATCCAACTGGAACTAATGAGGACAACTTGAAACCTGTGTCTGTCACTGCCTTCCCCTGAATGACACCAGTGACCTGCAGAAATTGCTAATGCTCCTTGCCACAGAACTGTTCATGTACTGGGCCCCACAACTTGGAGAAGGTTCAGGAAGAGATACCATGGGAGATGGAGGAGCAGAGGGCCTGGCTGCTAGGCCAGGCCAACAAGGTAAGCCATTAGGTAGTGACCGTGTACACAGGCTGCAACAGTACCTGTACCCTACACAAGCCCTGCACACCCTACAGAAGAGGATGATGATGGTTGCTTCACTTCTGCCTTCCAAATCGCACACATCTTTTTTGGCTAACCTTAATCCAGAGTCCTACAGAGAGGAAATTTTGGGAATTGTAGTTCCAGCTGGCTGTATCAGTAGACTACAGAAGCCCCTGCAGTTCATCCCTTGTCACACATGCATGCCTCTTTAACCTTCCTTAACCATACTTGGCATCAATAGCAAGTTCATTCATCTAACTATCCTGTGCGCAACTGAAAGCACACGGTCATTCTCCAAGATCCATCTGTCTACGTTAGCCAAATCAAGTTAAATGAGGATGTGGGAGGAAATCACCACCTTTGCATCTTTCACATCATTGATGGTGGCAGGAAGTCCTCCAGAAATGCAGTATTGGTTTTGGTTTACTGTTTAGGTAGGTAATGGCAGTTCTAGTGGCTTCCACATGCACTTTTATCCATGCTAGTCATTACTGTATGGGTAGGGGATTAGAGGGGATTCTTTTTTTATTTATTTTATTTTTAAAGATTTTATTTATTTTAGAGAGAGAGAATCTCAAGCAGACTCCATGCTGAGCACTGAGCTCAAAGCAGGGCTCGATCCCATGACACAGATCATGACCTGAGCCGATATCAAGAGTCGGATGCCCAACCGACTGAGCCACCCAGGCGCCCCAAGAGAGGGGATTCTGTCAGTTGTTAAGGATGTCTGTTCCAACTGTGCGTTCCAGCAGAATTAACTGCACGGTGGATTTGGGACCTATTGGACCCAGTTTGAGATAAATCTGAGCCAAATCTGCATTGATCCTCTGATTTCCATAAGCTGCTATTCCTGAAAGTTTGGACCAAATGGTATTTTGAGTCTTTAGGAATTCACTCTAGTTCAGAGCCAGTATCTAGTAATCCTTCCAAGGGCTGCTTATGTCCTCTTCCCCAGAACAAAGTCATCCTTAATAAATGGCTGTTGATCTCTTTAGGGAAGCCTAGGTGGAAAATTTATAGTATTCATATTTAGCTCTGTGGTAGAATTCTTCTTAAGGGAATTCCCTTCATTCCAGAGACTCTGGGTCTATGAAATGGCTCCAATCTGGGAATTGGTAGAGGGGCCACAACTTTACTTTTTTGGTGATTTAAATCATACTTCGAGTTTTTCCACTTAAACTAATCAAGACTTTTTTTTTTTTTAAAGATTTTATTTATTTATTTGAGAGAGAGACACACAGCGAGAGAGGGAACACAAGCAGGGGGAGTGGGAGAGGGAGAAGCAGGCTTCCCGCTGAGCAGGGAGCCTGATGTGGGGCTTGATCCCAGGACCCTGGGATCATGACCTGAGCCGAAGGCAGACGCTCAATGACTGAGCCACCCAGGCGCCCCTAAACTAATCAAGACTTTAATAGATTGCCCATCTGTTTCAGTTCTAGGGGCACTGATTTCTTTTTTTTTTTTTTTTTTAAGATTTTATTTATTTATTTGAGAGAAAGAGAGCATGGGGGGTGGTAGGGTCAGAGGGAGAAGCAAACTCCCCGCCGAGCAGGGAGCCTGATGTGGGACTCGATCCTGGGACTCCAGGATCATGACTTGAGCCGAAGGCAGTCGCTTAACCAACTGAGCCACCCAGGCGCCCTGGGGCACTGATTTCTTAGCCAATGTCAGAGATCTCTGCAGTTCAAACCTTTCTGGTTACTGTTTTGGCTGCCATTATGGTATTCATTCCCACCTTGTCTTTGGTGATTAAGTGCTGCCACTTGGTCCCTGCCACCACAGGATCCGATCATCTCCTGCTCAATTTAGGGAGTCAGTTTGATGGCAGGAGTTACCACTTTTATTCCTGGCCTATGAAGGCTAGCCATCCCAGAGCTCTTAAAGGAGTCCCGGGTTCCTCTCATGAATATATTTCTCTTAGCTTGGTGAATGGAATGTTTTCTGGGTCCTCCCAGGGACATGGTTAAGGGTAAGCAGGTCTAACATATTAAACCCACTCAGCATTCTGATATCCTTAAGCCATCAGGAAGACCTCAGTACCCAAAGAAGTTTAGATGTTTCACCTTCATTTAGTGTAGGTCACCTTTAGGTCCAGCTTTCATTAAACCAACCAAGCAAACTGTTAGGCGTTCCTAGCTGCTTGAGCCAACCTGTTGAATCCACAGTTTCTGCTTAGCACACCCGTAGCAATAAATTCGGCCTAATCCAGCATTATCTTCCATCTGAATCCAACACTCCAACACTCTTAGGATCCTTTCCCTTATATGTTCCTCAAGTTTTTGTTGATATAAATTGGCAAAATCTCACAATTCTTTTGGTGTGTAATGAATCTCCTAATGGCTTGCACTTTTTTTTTTTCAAAGATTTTATTCATCTGTCTGAGAGCATGCAGAAGCAGGGGTGGGGGCAGAGGGAGAGGGAGAAGCAGGTGTGGGGCTCAATCCCAGGACTCTGAAATCATGACCTGAGCCAAAGGCAGATGCTTAACCGACTGAGCCACCCAGGTGCCTGCACTTTTTTTTTTTTTTTTTTTAAGATTTATTTTAGAGAGCGCATGCACAAGCAGTGGGGAGGGGCAGAGGGAGAGGGAAGAATCTTAAGCAGACTCCCTGCTGAGGGTAGATCCTGGCTCGGGACTTGATCTCACAACTCTGAAATCATGACCTGAGCTGAAATCGAGTTGGATGTGTAACTGTGCCACCCTGGTGCCCCAATGGGTCGTAGTTTTCTGCTTTATTCTTTGGGGTCTGCTGGGACTTGAGTCTGGTCATAGATCTAAAGCACTGAGAGATGGTGAAGGTAGTTCCACAGCAGGTCCTTCACAG